CCTAATTTTTTTGAGCAGTGTATAATTGTCACTTTTTCTTGCACAAAAATGCCAATCTCAAATTTTAGGTATACTTTCTTGAAATTTGAATTTACAGTTATTCTGATTGAACTCACTACGTAACAGTCTTTGCAGAAATGTGCAACTCATCGAATGCAGTACGTTGAACTATAAATTGTTCTCCCGGTCAAATGACTGGTTGCGGTAGAAATAGGTAGACGACGCGTATTATTCGAAACAAACAAAATACAAAAAACATACAATAATAGAATATTAACTGTATTTAATTGTTGGAAAAAGTCGCGAAGTCAAATGCGCCAAAATGATAAGACAAGAAGTGCACGGTCATTTGATTGACTATGGTGTATTTTTATTGTTAAACACAAATAATAAATCGGATAACAAATGCACACATTCAAGAAATATCTCAAAAAACAACCCAGAAAGCATACAACCTTACGGTAAGCTTGTGTCAGAATTTTCTTTTTATTGTCAAGGAAATGATTGAACTAAAAACCTTTTTTCCAAAAAAGCAAAAATAGTGCAGTTTCAAACCTTTCATCCTAAAAGGATTAAAAAAATATTTTTAAAGCTTTTTTAAAAAGCATTGTCACTTCATAATGACGTCTTAGCTGACGTCACACTAGCGATAGAGGATCCAATTGCATTGCCGATTAAAATTTCATGCCAAGGGGTGGATTTCAGCTGAGCATGCGAAAAGAAACCTTATAATGACCTTAGATTATTTTCATCCCTGAGACTAGCTTCATGAAAGGATTGTTTCACGCTTGAAAACCCTAACTCAACCTCTATTTAAGGTTTTTATATAGAAGGTTGTTTTGCTGAGGTTTTGGATGATTTTGATATTTTTATATTAGTATTTTAATAAATATTTTTTAATGAAAATCTTAACTTTTCTTTCATGTTGCCGCCATTTCGCTAATTTTGCGAATATCAAAAAACCGCTAAGATACTTTTTAGATAAAGTCTTTATGTTTCAGAAAATCTAAACAAAATCCTTTTTCCCATGTTTCAGGACTTCTAAATCCATATGGTCAGTGAGGTGCTACTTTTTAATGACCAACCGCACACGGAGCTGCCACCAACTTATTTTTTTATTATTTTGTGAAAGGAAACATTTTAAAACAGACTTCAATTGTAGCTAAATAACAAGGAGTCTCTGCATTGTTTAAAAAAACTAAAGAAAAACGTTAATATTTTACCATCTCATAACACACTTCTTCAGGTTTACATCAAAAGGTTTTTGCTGAGTGAAAATAAACCTTATTATGCAATCTGCAATGATCACGTGGTGATCCAAATGGCTTCAAAAAAAAAAAGCCAAAAAAACAGCAAGATGGCCGTGTAGAGAAACACAAAATGACAAATGAAGTGAACTCACCTGAGAAGTTGCGAGCCTGATAGAGGTAGGGTTTGAGGGCATGATATCGCCTCCTAAAACCCCTCGGCCTCCTCCTGAAAGACCCCTCCTCGAACATGAACTCGCTGGCCGGATCCACTGTCCAATAGTGTCCTTTACCCGGACGTCCCAGACCTTTGGGCAGTTTGATGAAGCAGTCGTTGAGGGAGAGGTTGTGCCGGACGGAATTCTTCCATCCCTGGTACTGACCGCGGAAGAAGTGGAATCTGTTCTGTAGATACTGGTAGATCTCGTTGAGGGTGAGTCTTTTGGAGGGAGAACTCTGGATGGCCATCACTATGAGGGCGATGTAGGAATAGGGGGGCTTCTCGTGTCTTCTCACACCACCTACAGGACATCAAGAAGGGTCAGTTAAAGAATGGTCACTTCTTTCGACGAAATGGTTTATTATTTTCTTTAATAAGTAAGGAAATATATATGTCACCGGCAAAGTGTGAAATCCGACATTGAATAGAATGACTAGGCATTGTATAGAATGCCTAAAATTAGCCGGCTAAGTATGAAATGATTTATATTTC